GATCTACATCTAAAAAATGTTAAACCAATTAAAAAACTAAATATAAATGAGCTAAAGGTTATTGAAATCATGTCTTTAAAAACTTTGCGTGAGAGTTAAAAACATTGTGTTTTAGACCTGTGGGTTTTGAGTGGTCAGCCCAAAGCCAATGCATAACAGCCAAGCTTATGTCCTGTGGTGTTTAAGTGCCTTTCTTTCCTTTCCTTCGTCCACTCAGAGCCACAGTACGTGGCCTTGCTCTTGCCTCCTTCAGTCTGAACGGCTGTAAAGTGTCCAGAGAAAGTTCGTATGGGTTTTATAGAAGTTTCACGTCTGAGGGGACAAACGTCTGCTGATGGATACAAAGTATCTCATGACTCGAACTCGCTGTCACTACTGACGGAGATCTCTGGGGTGGACGCTCCCGTTCCCCTGCGCTCGGCCTCCGTGCTGCAGTCGCTCTCTGGGCTGCCCGGGTGTTGAGGGGAGTTGGGCAGCAGGCGGGGGTGATGGTGGCGCTCCTGAAGGGAGCTCTGGGGTGAGCCTTCAGAGGGCAGGAGGGAAGGATCCTGCTGCAGCCTGGGTGGGGGAACAGATCAGGGACGTTACTGACAAATCAAGGTGTTTGTTACCTTTCATTCTTGGCTGTTTGCTTTTCAGCAGACCTGGAGACTGCGGTAAAAAATGCACTTTCACGGTCAAATTAGCCTCATTTCATTGGGGCCGTACAGCTGGTTTGACGTCGGTCCAAGCAGCGAGTATAATGAAGGTGGGGAGACTAATGATTGTATCATTAATAGTTGGTGAAGATTCTCAGTCATCCAGGACATGGTAAATTCAAAAAGTTCAAGATAAAAACAATTAAGTATAATAAGTAAAGTCCAGTTGTTTTTGTCATGAACTTTTTTGAATTTGTCATTAAAGCCACATTTACCTATTACATGATACAACGGCATGCCTCACTGCTACTACTACTCTGCTTCCATCAAGTGGCTGAAAATGGTACTGCTCATTTATTTTTCAGTCAGAATGAATGAAAATGGTCATATCTCAGCCAAAAATTGGTTTATAAATATGGGGAAAAAAATCCATAAATACGTCGCTTCAGCCAATAAGTCATAGGGCATGTAAATTATGCACACACAAAAAAACTGACTTATAAGGCAGAAAATATGGTACTTGACCTTTTGGATTGGAGTCTCAGTGCTAGTCATCAACATGTGTGAAGTACCTGTTCTTGGCTGATGCAGCACGGTCTCTTT